TCTCTTTTTTTTGTCAGTCTTGTTAGAAAATTGTCAATTTTATTTATCTTTTCAATGTGCTTTGTTGCATTGATTTTTCTGTTTTCAATTTCAGCAGTTTCTGCTCTTATTTACTTTGTCCTGCTTGCTTTATGTTTATTTTGCCTTTTTCTGAATTCTAGAGATATAAGCTTAGATTGTTGATTAAGGCTTTTTCTTTTTTCTTTTTTTTTTTTTTTTTTTTTTTTGAGACGGAGTCTCGCTCTGTCACCCAGGCTGGAGTGCTGTGGCCTGATCTCAGCTCACTGCAAGCTCCGCCTCCCGGGTTTATGCCATTCTCCTGCCTCAGCCTCCCGAGTAGCTGGGACTACAGTCGCCCGCCACCTCGCCTGGCTAATTTTTTATATTTTTTAGTAGAGACAGGGTTTCACCGTGTTAGCCAGGATGGTCTCGATCTCCTGACCTCGTGATCCGCCCGTCTTGGCCTCCCAAAGTGCTGGGATTACAGGCTTGAGCCACTGCGCCCGGCCCTTCTTTTTTCTAATGTGTGTATTTAGCACTATAAATTCCCCTCTCAGTACTGCTTTATTTGTGTGTCAACATTTTGATATGTTGTATTTTCATTTAGTTTAATGTATTTTTTGTTTTCCCTTGAGACTTAACTTTCCCATGGATTATTTAGGTGTTTGCTGTTTAGTTTCCAAGTGTTTGGAGATTTTGCCTTTAACTTTCTGTTGTTGATTTCTAGTTTGATTCCATTGTTGTCAGAGAATACATTCTTTTTTATTTCAGTTATGTTTACTCTGTTGAGGGGTTTATATCTCCGGATTGGTCTATCTTGTTTGATGTTTTCTGGGCACTTGAAAATAATGTGTATTCTGTTGTGTTTGAATGGAGTAGTCTGCTAAGGTCAACTAGATCCTGTTGGTTGATGATGTTAAGTTCTGTGAGTTTGTTGAATTCTATCTAATGTTTCTATCAATTGCTGAAAAAAGGGTGGCGAAATATCCAACTATAATTATGAATTTATTTCTCTTTTCAGTGCTACTTCACACGTTTAGTTTTTACTTCACACATTTTGCAGCTCTATTGTTTAATGTATATAGGATTGCTTAGAATCGTTTAGGATTGCTATGTCTTCCTGATGGAATGACCCTTTTGTTATAATATAATTATCCCCTCTATTCTGATCATTTTCTTTACTCTGAAGTTGCTCTATTTTAATATCATCTAATGTAGAAATCCACTTCCTGCTTTCTTTTAATATTTCTATGAGATATTATTTTCCATTGTTTCACTTTCAGTCTGCCTATACTATTTGAAGTTAAAGTTTCTTCTAGACAGCATATGTTTGGTTCATGTCTTTTAAAATCCATTATTGGTGTAGACTACTTACTGTCATGTAATTATGGATATATTAGGGCTTAAGTCTACCTTGTATTTTACAGTTCAAAATTTTCCATTTGGTTCTTTTTTTATATCTTATATTTCTTTGTCCTTGGACTCTTTTTGCTGAGACTTTATATTTTTTCATTTTTCTATTATGTTTTTAATTACTTGTTGAAGCATTTGTATGATAGCTACTTTAAAATGTGTCAACTAATTCTCAACATCTCTGTCATTTTGGTGTTTGCGAGTATTGATTGTGTTTTTGCATTCCATTTGAGATCTTGGTTTGACAAGTGATTTTTTAACCTGAAACCTGGATATTTTGGGTAGTATATTATAAAACTCTGCATCTCTGGATCATATTTAAATCTTCAGTTTTAGCTAGCTTACTCTAATGCTATTCTGGCAAGAGAAATAGAGCTGCTACCTTCTTACTGCCAGGTACAGGTAGAAATTGAATTTTCTACTCTGCATCCATTGACATCTAAGGAAGGATATCCCTTGTGACTGCTGGGCAGGGATGAGAGTTCTGGGTTCCCACTACACTTTTACTGATGCTTTCTTGTCTGAAAGGGATAGGAGTGCCTTGTTACCAGTGGGTGATGGTGAAAGCCCGGACTCTTCACTAGGCCTCCTCTGTATCAACCTAGGGCAGAAGAGGATTGGCTGCTTGTTACTACCTGACGAGAGCAGAAGTTCATGTTACCTGTGTGGTTTCGGTTTCCACCAGCATTGTAGGAGTTGAGAGAGAGGCTTTATTATATCCTGGTAAGGGTGGACATTTTAGGTCTCCATTCAGTCTTTGCTGGCATTGGTGGGAGTTGGGCCATAGTCTTTTCAGTGGTTTTTAACTGGAGTAGAGTGTTTATTTTCTAAGAGTTTTCTGTTTTGTGAGGGTCCTCCTTTCTTCGTCTTTTGGCTAGAGAAAAGGCAGGGTTTTGTTGGGGCTTTTTGTCTGCCCCCATTGTTGTTTCTGGTTACTAGCTTCTTCAGCTCCAAGTTTGGAATATATTAGGCAAAAAGAAACCCAGAGAACTCACCACCATGTAATTCCTCAGGTTTCCACCTTTCAGGGTCTTGTGTTTATTTTCTATATAATGTTCAGGCATCTTAGTTGTACCTAGAAGAGAGTGAGTGTGAAAAGTTCATTGACTGCATCCCACTCAAGTTAGTGCCTCTTTTATCTGCACCACTTTAGAATCAAACTCTTTGAAAGTATTCATCTATACTTATTTTCTCCAGTTCCACTCTTCATTCTCTCTTAAACCTATTCCAGTAAAATTTCTATCCCTATCACTCCTTCAAAACAATTCCTGTCAAGGTGTCATTTACAAGTAAATACTAAAAGCAAAAATATACATGTATGTTTGAATTGTAAGATCTTTATTTTTTTAAATTTTTAGGTTTGGGGGTACATGTGAAGGTTTGTTACATAGGTAAAGTAGTGTCACAGGGTTGATTGTGCAGATTATTTCATTACCAGGTATTAAGCCTATTACTCAACAGTTATCTTTTATGCTCCTCTCTCTTCTCCCACCCTCCACCTTCAAGTAGACCCCAGTGTCTGCTGTTTCCTTCTTTGTGTTCATAAGTTCACATCATTTAGCTCCCACTTATAAGTGAGAAAATATGATACTTGGTTTTCCAGCATTAGCTTGCTAAGGATAATAGCCTCTAGCACCATCCATGTTCCCGCAAAAGATATGATCATGTTTTTTTTTTAATGGCTGCATAGTATTCCAGAGCGTACATGTACCATGGTGTATACGTATTTTCTTTGTCCGGTCCATCACTGATGAGCATTTAGGTTGATTCCATGTCTTTGCTATTGTGAATAGTACTGCAATGAACATTCACCTGCATATCTTTATGGTAGAATGATTTATATTCCTCTGGGTATATATCCAGTAATGGGATTGCTCGATCGAATGATAGTTCTGCAAACAATACTTATCAAAACTTGTGGTTGCAGCTAAAGTTGTAGCAAGAGGGAAATCTATAGCCTTAAATACTATATTAAATGAATTAATTCTGGCAAGAAAAACAAAAAAGCGATGAAGATAATGTTAATGCAAATTAGAAAATGTTATAAATTTTAATCATATGTAAATAAACTTATATGTAAAATAATCTAGTTATCAGAAAAGTATGGGACCAAAACATTCAAAAAGAAATAGAAATTCTGAATGGCCCTATGACCATTAAAAATGTTGGTTTATTAGTTAAAAGTCTTCCTTCCCTCAGTACTCACCTGAGTTTGGACAGATGATAATTCCAGGGTTACATAAGCTTTTTCAAAAAACGGGGGGAAAAGTAGCAATTCTCTTTTCATTTTCTGAGTCTTATGTACTACAATCTTGTTAACAAAACTAGCAAGGAGAGTAAGAATGAAATTTACAAGCTAGTCTCACTTAGGAAGATAGCAAAACAGTCCCAAAATCTAGCAATGTATAAAACAGGTAACATGACCAAATTTGACTTATTCTAGAAATGCAAGGTTTAATTAATATTAGAAAATTGTCCAAAATATTTACACATTAATGAAATTATGTTACTACACATCATAGGCCTTTGCGTTATTGATTTAGTGTAGTCTTAGTTAAATCCGAGAATGCCAGGTGTCTGGAGAGCTTGTTGAATAACTAAAATTCAGTTTTGAGTGGAATACTGTGGACAACAGTAGATGGCACAATTAATTTGATTAAAGGGAGTCAGATGGTTTCTCAGAGGTGGCAAAATGTGAGTTAAGTCTTGATGAATAATATTTTTATCAGCATGTTTGAGATTTCAAGTAGAAATAATGGGTGCTGAAGCATGGCTGTGGCATTTGGGAATGGTAAGTGATATAATTAGAGCATGGTAAGATTATCAGGAAGTGGCAGGAGATGAAACTAGAGATTTGTGACAAATTGTGAAAGGCCTTGACTGCCTTGCTTCTTGCTAAACAGTGGAATTTATCAACCCACTGAGAGAAAGCCAGTTAAGATTTTTGAGCCTTCCATATATTTAGCTGCTTATATTTAATGTGTTGTCTTTAAAAATAACACATGATTTGTTGTTTGCGTGTTTTTGCATATGTAACTTATTTGAAGTTAAGTGCTTCTGCTGATTAACTTTTTGTTCACAAAAATATAGGGATCTGGATTTCTGACTGGACCACTTAATATAATGTATTACTTTCCGCTGTGTTATGTCCTAAACTTTTAAAACCACTAACGTCTTTCACCAAACTGTTAAGAACTTTCTAAAGAAGTATGTGACAAAGGCATGTTTCATTTCATTTGCTCTGCCATTTTTAGCTGTATATGTGATAAAACATGTTTTAATACATCTCTTTTTAACTTTGATTTTATTGGAATTTTTGAATGAGTTGTTTGTTTTTAAGAAAAGTAATTGGAGTGAACTTTCTTTGATTCCCAGGTTTTCTTTTTTCCCCTTTTTTCTTTATTTATTGCATTGGTAGATGCAAGGCAAGAAATTTATTACTATAAATTTGTGACTCAGAATTTTAAAACTAAATTAACTTCATAAATGCACTCACTTTTTTCTTAATGGATTCCTTCTAACCCCCAATGATGCTTTTATTTGATTTTCTTGATTATGTAATTTGTTTGCTGTTTCTTTTATTTAAGGTGTGACTGCACAGAAAAGTTACAAAACAAATTTGACTTTTTGCGCTCACAGTTGAATGATATTTCATCATTTAAGAATATCTACAGATATGCCTTTGATTTTGCAAGGGTAGGTGCAATTTTCTTGTTTTGTTGTTTTAATCGCTTTTCATCTTGAGACCACACTTAGGAAAACTTTTTCATTTACATTTTAGGATAAAGATCAGAGAAGCCTTGATATTGATACTGCTAAATCTATGTTAGCTCTTCTGCTTGGGAGGACATGGCCACTGTTTTCAGTATTTTACCAGTACCTGGAGGTATGTATTTTTTTTTTGAATTTTGAAAATATTATTTTAAAACTTAATCTGAAAGTTACACTTTTGAGGAACAAGTAGATTTTTAATAGTATGCTTAAAAAAAACTCCTTGAGTAGAGAAAAAATTCTAAAATATGTACATATCAGTTATTTTTAGATGTTCATGCTTGTTAATATATTTTGTACCTAAGATACCTTCAATCCTACCCCCCTCCCTGCCCCAATAAAAGAAACCTCCAAGAAATACACTGTAGCACAGACATTTGTCATGCAAAGTTAGTTTCTCGGGGTTTTCGTAAGAGAGAATTAATGCTAGCACGCAAATCTTAAACTTCTAAATCTGATTTTCTTTTGTTATACAGGGTCTTAAGCTGAAATGTACATAAGATAACCAATTTAGTAATACAACTTTCCTTTTCTACTTAGGCTCAATCTAAAGAAAGAGAATAAAGCTATTCATATTTTATGTCCACAAATATGAGAATGACTATAATAGTATACTTAAATATGCTGGTTACTAAAAAGATGTAAGCTGAAATGATGAAGTGTTCTTTTAGAAGGTTTATCATAGCACCTACTATAGGCAGTGATTCTAAGAAGATGCTATTCTTTTTTTCCATTGCTTTCTTTGTCTAGTTTTTGTTTTTAAAACTGTTTTTGTGTCTTTGTAATTTTAGGGTTATTGGTATAGTTCTCACCATATCTTGAATACAGATGCTTTTTTCCTTTGGAAATAATTTATCATAAAGCACATTGCTTATAGCAACTTCCCTTTTCCCATAGTAGTAAAAGTTGTAATATAAGACAATGATATCAGCCAGGAATGGTGGCTCAAACCTGTAATCCCAGCACTTGGGGAGGCCAAGGTGGGCAGCTCACTTGAGGCCAGGAGTTCGAGACCAGCCTGGCCAACATGGTGAAAACCCCATCTCTACTAAAAATACAAAAAAAATTAGCTGGATGTGGTGGTGTGCACCTGTAGTCCTGGCTACTCGGGAGGTTGAGGCACGAGAATTGCTTGAACCAGGGAGGTGGAGGTTGCAGTGAGCCGAGATTGCACCACTGTACTCCAGCCTGGGTGACAGAGCGAGACTCTGTCTCAGAAAAAAAAAGAGAGAGAGAGAGAGAGAGTGGTATGAAAAGGTCTTACATGAATGAGTTTTATGCATGATTCAGTCTTTAAGTCCTATAAATTATTTTTGATGGATGATATCTATTTTCTTTCTATTAGTAGTTTTGGGCAAAAATAAATTTAACTGAATGTAAAAATATTCAGCTCTATGGGGAGCTGAGAAGAACTAAATATTTTCAGACACTTGTTGTGCAGGTAGTTTGGCATACATTTTTAAAAATCTTTATAACACCATTTTGAATTAAATTCTATCCCCCATTTAACAAATGAGGAAGTGGTTTCTATTCTTAAGTAACTTTCCCAAAATCACTCAATTAAGTGGGAAGGATGGGATTTAAATCAAAGCCTATACTCTTTCAGTTGTCTCCAAAGATGCCAAACTCAAAATGTGGCTAACCAGTAAATCTTAAGCAAAGAAATGATTTACTAGGAAGCAGCATAAGATAACATACTGGATGTAGGAAATGTTATATATCGTGATCTCATTGGTGGTAACACAAGTATATACATATGTAAAAGTTAGTTTTATCCTTACTATTAGTACTCAGTGCTCTTATTATTCCTCAAAAATGAAAAAAAAAAGTAAAAAATAGATGATGTTAATATGTAAATGCCCATGAGGAATCTCTTAAAACACAAATAATTAAAAGAATAATAAATGTTTTAGGAAAAACCAAATGACAAAAAAAGTTATAACTTAGTTTACTAAATTGAGTAAATGATGTTTGCTTAAATATTTAAATACAAATATTTAAATCATTTTTTGCAGCAATCAAAGTATCGTGTTATGAACAAAGATCAATGGTACAATGTATTAGAATTCAGCAGAACTGTCCATGCCGATCTTAGTAACTATGATGAAGATGGTGCTTGTAAGTATAACATAGCATGTTCCTTTGAAAATAAAATTTCCAAAAATATTAAATGAGAGTATGGATTTATGTAGTATTAGCATAGAAGTTTTAAATTTTGTAATAGTAACATTATTTAATCATGTGGGGGATGTGGCAGAAGTAGAGAGAAAGCTTAGATTCAGCAGTATTATATAAAATCTATGCTGGTAGGTGAAATGTGTTCAGTTCCTCAGTAACCAAACATTTTAGCTAAATTTAAATTATAATTTTTGCATCTAGAAACTAAAAATCAGCTTTGTTTCTGTCTTTCCTGGCATTTGCCTATGGAAGGAAAGTACAGTCATGATTTTTAAAATATAACAGCAAAACAATCAGCCACAATAGAAAAAGCTTTAAAGAGTTGTTGTAATATTATGCTACCCATTAACAATATGGCAAATAATGTCAGTATAACATCTCTCTGAAAACTGTAAATTGATTGTGAGTAAACTGATAGTGAAATAGTTATAATTTTTTAATCCCTCAAGTTAAAGTATCTGTCCCTACTCCTCCATGGAAAGGCTAGAATGCCATAAAACAGGATTTTGAAATAATGATAAATTAATTAGATAAACCAAGTTAATTTTGTAGAACTATAAATTATTTTCAGTTCCCACCACCATTTTGGTTGGTTGCATGTGTTTTCAGTGTTCAGAAGGGTTACAAGGAAAAGTACATTCCTATAAACTTAAACTGAAATTTACACTTTTTTTCTGTGACACTGAAAAAATAAAATAACAGAAGAAGGGATAACTTTATTTCTTCCTACATATATTTTGTCCTCTCTCTACAAGATGATATAAAATTTAGTATTATTGTAAAGAAATAATACCTAGCAGCAGTAACCTGGCAGCCCAAAGGCTGTATATGGCCTGTAGATGTGTATATTTATGTATTTTGTATCAACATTTAAAACTACGAGATTTTGTATTAAAATACAACTTTTAAATTTGTTTGAAAAATTTAAAAAGTCTGACAAAACTGTACCTTTATAGTACTCCTTTATAGGAGTCAGAGGCTAGAGGCAAGTATTAACTGTGTTGGACTTGCTTTTCAGTTTTACAGTTCATGGTATGCCAACACCTAGGCTGGGCTGTTTTTCAGTTGCCATTTATTATCATACTTGCTCTGCTGTTTTTCTTACAGTAGAGAAACATGTCTGTCAAAAACAATGGAAAAAGACTACCAGAGGATTATGTGTTTTAAGAAGAATAGAGCAAGCATATTTCTTTGTGGCAGTGATTTTTCCTACATTTAAACAAAATAAACACTGAGCTCATTTAAACTGCCTACCTGGCTCTGTCAACAAATGAGTTTGGACTTCTCCTGCATTATAAAAATACCTTTTTTAGAATAGTACTTAGCTCATTAGTCAGATATTCATTAGGCACTTGCTTTGTGTTCAGCTTTGTACTACATCCTGTTATTGGAATAAAGTAAAGTCTCTGTTATAGTTGATCCCTCTCAACAAGCTTATATACTTCTTGGGAAGGCAACATAGAAATATTACCTTCAACACTTTTCAGATTGTTTAGTAATTACATGCCAGAATGCTATGGACACTTAGAAAAAGGGAGAGATTTGTATTGACTCAGTTATTGGAGGGTTCATGAAACACCTTGAGAAGGAAGTTACTATAGATACCATTGTTCCTTGTGTATTTAAGGGCAAAAAAGAAAAGGCTAATAAGGAAGCACCATTAAATGGAATAAAGTGACTAGAAGTAGAACACCCAAAGAAGGGAAGGGTCAGTCCTCTGTCATTGCAGAGCTCGTGGGGAGTTTGTTTGTTTTATAATTGGAGAGATGAGTTCACTGAATTCTGACAAAAATTGTTTCTTTTTTTCTAGGGCCTGTTCTTCTTGATGAATTTGTTGAGTGGCAAAAAGTCCGTCAAACATCATAGCAAGAACTATTGTGAAGAAAATGCAAACCTTTTGATTCCCACGTGTATACAAGCTAATGTGATGAGGGGGAAAAAAAATCCAACGGGTGCATTTTCATTCATGTGAAAGACTTCTCATAGTACTTTTTTTTCCTTTTTTTAAAGGAGGTTTTTCTTGTTACATGTGATGGGCATTGAGCCACACCTCTTCTTAGACTGAATATTGAAGTTTTTGTTTTGAGTTATGTTTATAACATTTATTTCAGAACAATAAAGATTCAGATTTGTGACAAAGGCCTTAAAGTGAAGATGTCCCTTGAGTGTCAGAGTGGTATTTATTTTTGTAAATTTGAATTTTTGGATTTTTGAGGTTCCCATTCACCGTGAATTTATAGAATTTTCAAGATTTTAAACAGTCTTAATATTTGGCAACGTAGTCTGCTGATGGTATGGCTCATTATAGTCATCTCTGCACAGTTTGGAAGACTGTTGGCCTTGACTTCTGGGATAATGATATGCTGATGCAGCTAATAAATATTTCTAGGTATTGGAAAAATGCTCCTACTTTTAGCTCTGGGTTTCTATAAAAGCTGCCAAGGTCTTATGCAGATGTCTTATCTCAGAGTTTAGAATTGGAAAGATCATGTCCAGTTTTGTTTTCTAAAAAACTTGTATTATTAAGTTGTATCATCATTGTTATTGTTGATAGTGGCATATTTATGATATTTTTAACTGTCATTATATAGGGAATTTTGTTTAAAGCACTTTTTAATTTTTTTTTTTTTTTTGCCTTAAGAGGACATTAGCTCTGATATGAATTTAGTTAAGATACACATAGGAAAAGAAGACAGTAGAATAAGGAATCATGAGAGAACTCTGGGTGTAATTGTACACAGCTCAGTAGAGCCATTTACATTGGTAGTATTGCAGTATTGCTAATTATCACAATTTTCTGCCTGTTGGTAATAAAGTGACTTGAGGAAAGGGAATCCTTTCCTAATTCATGTAAAAGGCACTTTTGTACTAGCAGCAGGCCTGTTTGTGCATTCCTTTTCAAACCATCCAGTATCCCAGTGATAGGAAAACTTTGTTCATATTCATAGACCAGTCACAACTTCAGTAACGTTTGTAGTGTCATTGTATGAGTAGAGAGAAGTAAGGAGATTATTTTTCCATAGTAAGGGAGTGTTTCTATTAGGATTTAAGGTAAAGGTTGATTTTTCAGTGGTGAATTTGTTTAAAGAATGATTTCTCCATATTGATTACCTAAGGGGAAATGACATTTTAAAGTGTTTTGTTTGCTTTTTAGTTAATGAGCTGGGAAAAAAATGATTGCCAATGTTTTACTTGCCTTCTTAATAAGATTACTTTGTACAGTAATCTTATTAAAACACCCATAATGGTGGGAGACGGTTTTCCTAAATGTCTTATAGAAAAGGATAATACAGAATGCTCCCCCTAAGTATTAGAATCACTGAAGTATGAACTGAGCATACCAGTGGTGTTAGGATTTAATATTGTGAATGATGTTTTAATATCAAATTTATTATAAGGAAAGCATTTACATTTGTAGACCTTTGAATTTATAATTTAATTGACTCTTCAAGGTACATCTGAACTGAAGAATATATCCATTTTTGTTAAATTCCAAAACATATAAGCAAAATCTTATAAATTATCACATTTGTAACCTGAACTAATGGTAATATTGGGTTTTCATCTTCAGTATTTGGGTAAAATAGGGAACACTTAAAGCGTATAGATGAAATGTTTTTTAAAAAGTATATATATGAAAGCACAGGCATCCTTGGTATAGGCAGGGGATTGATACCAGGACCCTTGTGTATACCCAAATCTGCACATACTCAAGTCCTGCAGTCATCCCTTTGGAACCTGCCTGTATGAAAAGTCAGCCCTCCCCGTGTGTGTACTGTTGCATCCCGCAATACTGTATTTTCAATCCATGTTTGGTTTTAAAAATTCTGCGTATAAGCAGACCCACACAGTTCAAACTCATGCTGTTCAAGGGTCAACAGTATTTACTTTGCTTACTTATCCAAAGATACCTTTAAGACTTTTTGAGTCTGAAAATGAAATTTACTTTCTTTTTTTCACTTAAAGTCAACCGTCCTATCCGATCCTTGCCATACTTGGAGTCCAGTACCACTGTGGCCATGCTTGTTTCACTCTGTTGCTCCATCTATTTATCTTACCTTTCTTAAAGTTACAACATTTGCCTACTTTGAAGGCAAATTTACTCTGCCTGATTCATCAGTCAGGGTGTGGGCTGTGTCCCTTCTTGTCTTTCCTTTGTTAGTTTTGAATAGCTTTTAATTTACTGGGAAATTTGTGATCAAAATGTTAAGTGATATAAACAAAGAATACAATATTAAGCACCCTGCAGTATAAAAAAGTCTAACTGTTGTTAGACTTTTTTTTTGACTAGTTAGCTTTAAGTGCCTTCCCACGAATCCTGTTGTAAAATTTTCAGAACTACTTCCTTTGTACAGGATGAAATACTGTATGGTGCTTTATAACATGGAATTGAGTTGTTTCTATAAGAATATTATACAAATGTAATACTACTGGAAGAAAGTAGAGCCAGATGTTGATTTGAAAAGATTGCACCCTTCCGCACCCCCCCTCCTCGGGGCCAATAATTCTTAATTAGGTATGATGTTAATACCTCTAGGAAATTGCCAGGGATTCAGGTGACAGTGTGTGATGAAAATGGTGTATTGTGTGCTGGTCTGACTGCATTACCATGTTTGTCTTCTCTTGTCTGTGATTTCTTATTTCTTAAATGCTGCTGATAAAATTCTTGATATAATACATTTTTGACAGTAGTAGCATTTTTATGTATAATGTATAGGTTTTGTTGGTTTTTACTCAGAAGCACTCTAGATTAGTGTTTCTTGAACTGCAATTTGAGAGCCTTCTTTGGGAATGTTAGATTGAGGAGTATTTCTCTTAAATACAAATGCCTTTTCATCTAGCAAACCAAAAATTTATCTTAACATTGAATGCCATCACTCGGGGTCGGGGTGGAAACATTTCACTTTGAAGTATTTCTTCAACAAAACGTGTCCTGTCTGCCAGCTTGCTAATGTGAAATTATGAAAGAATTTATTGAAGTATATGTTCAGTTTGAGGAGTAATTGGTAAGAATGCCAGGTGTTGTTCTTCTGCCCTCTTAAAAAGTGTACTTAAAACTGTTGTGATAATAATTCATCTCTGATAAAACTTTGTTCTGGCCTTCAAGGCTCCTACAGCTTAATGTTTTAAATGTCTAAGGCATCAAATAAATTGAGGGCATTTTAATAAAAAAAAGGAAAACTAAATGCCTTTCTTTGTTAAAGCAAAAGGCCAAAAAAAAAAAATAAAAAAAAACCCAAAAGTCTTACTCCTAAGGAATTCTTACCTCTAAGGAGGAATCCTTCCCTCTTGAGGAAATACCACTTTTTGAGTGACATTAGAAATCATCACAAGGAAACATTTCAAAGAAAGGATCATTTTCTTTTCAGGAGAAAGAGGAATAACAATTTCATTAACTCTTCCTCAAAAGGAAAGGCTAGTCTGAATTATTAAGTATTCTAGATTGTATCATTTTTTAGTATAGTTTTATTACTTTAGGAATATTTGGTAAGAACCAGGTAAACCTAATGTTTAAGATTTGTTCTTTTTTGTTAATAGACCTGTGGTTAGTGCGGTGGAAGCCCAAAAAGCAGTCTAACTTATGATAAACTTAGAGACTGTGGAAAGATGAATTTCTGCCCCAAACCTTAGATAAGCGGTCAATAATTTAATTGTAGAGATTTTTCTAGTGAACTTTTACTTCACTGGAGCAAATCTTTAGATCTTTTAAAGCACAGTTTATTTACCTTTTTACAAACAGCAGTCTTAAAACTGATGGATCATACATTTGCTGTGTGCACCTTATCATCTTTTACATTCTATTAGTACAAATAGTGTTTCCTTGGCTCCTTTTCCTGACCAGTTGTTATTGGTGTGACCATTTTCTTTTTAGGATTGATGAGACATTTTGCTATGTATGCTATGTCATGTATTAGAACCTTCTATAATATGGCTCATTTTGACATGGTTTCTGATTTACCATGTGTGAAATATTCCTTAAAATACATCAAGTAACACTATAGTGAGGTTAGACTTTAACATAAGTATTGAATCTTATTTTATAATGCAAATTTTATTGAAGCTTTGTTGTATTTATTTTATGGATCTATGGTCCATAAATGGGAGTTAGTAGCAAACATTTTGTTAAAAATGTCTTAGCTTTCCCCCCAATTATATCATTTTGTAGAAGTTTTATCCTTCTGTGGTTTTTCTGGCTTTCTGAGCTTTAAAGTGTTAATGAATTCGTACTTCATGGGTTCGGTTTTAAGTATTAGATTACAATTGTGGATTTTAAAAAGGTAATAAATACTTGAAGTGAATATATATAGACAGCCAGATTTTCCCAAAACTGGGCTGTGTGTGTTTTGTGTAGAATTGAATATTAGCCATAATTAACTTTTTTTTTTTTTTTTTTTTTTGGAGACAGGGTCTTACTCTGTCACCCAGGATGGAGTGCAGTGGTGCAGTCTCAGCTCACTGCAGCCTCCACCTTCCGGGTTCAAGAGATTCTCGTGCTTCACCCTCCCAAGTAGCTGGGATTACAGATGCCTGCCACCGTGCCCAGCTAAGTTTTGTATTTTTTTGTTTGTTTTAGTAAAGACGCAGTTTTACCATGTTGGCCAGACTGGTCTCAAAATCCTGCCCTCAAGTGATCCCACCCCCCTCAGGCTCCCAAAATGCTGGGATTACAGGTGTAAGCCACATTCCTGGCAAATGATTAACTTTTTCACGTAGAATAGATCACAGATAAAAGCTCCTCACATATTTTGAAGGTCAAAAGAAAATTTGTTGTTGCTAACAATTGCCTTTGAACCATGAAAGAGGATAAACTAACTTTATTTGAGCAACTTGTCATTTGAGACTTAAACTAACTTGCCAAACTTAGCAGAATTGAGTATTGACTTAAATGAAGTTAGTTTATATAGATACTTTACTATTCTGTCATGCAAATAAAATGGCTTAAAGCAAGTTCGTACACAGTTACTTTTATCTGCAAATGTAGAAATCTTACCTTTTTGAAATTTACATTATTCCCTGAAACTATGCATATTAAGAGAGCGTTTATAAAAGTATTATCTGAGAAACCTGAGTTTGATTTTCTTATTGTGACATTCCCGTTAATGTCACTTTTAAGCAAGACATTTAACCTATGTCATCTTCAGTTTCTTCTGTAAAGTGGTGATGATAATGATACCTACCAATATTGTTGTGAAGTTCAAATAGGGCCCTGTCCACAGCACTTAGTTGTTAAATGACTGCATCTTGGTAATTGAACAAGTGGTTAGTTATGATAGTTTATTTTTTTCTAACAAATTTATCTTATAAAAAGAAATAGTCGGGATTTCCTGTGTTATCCTGCCATTTTTTATAATCAAAATTATTAATATTCTCCTTAGACTAAACCATTAATTGAACAAACCTCAAGCATCTACTATATGCCAAGAAGTATTCTAGGCCTGAATATATTGCAGGGCACAAAACAAGACAGTTATTTCTGGACCTTATGGGATTTTTATTTTAATTGGTTAGTGAAATAGTTTATCATTTGATAACAAGGTTATGTGGGGAAAGTAAGTTGAGGAAGAGGCCCAGAGAGTGTGTGAGGATAGGATTACTGTTTAGTAGACTGTACACTGATATGTGACATTGCGCAGAGACCTGAGGAAGTGAATGGTTGTGCAGTGTGGATATCTGGGAGGAGAGCATTC